CTTGATATTTATCAAAACCACTTTTGACTTGTTCATGTTATGCACAAGTTTATTGCATGGGTGATGATGTGTTGTATGTGCCAGTCTAAAATATCGATCTATGAGCTGATTTATATGAAACACGTGAGAAATAAATTCACAGATGTTAACACAAAACGCAGAATACTATTGTGGTATGCAAAATCAAACTTTGTCAGGAAATTTTATAAATGGCTTGGAGGAATGTCTGTGAACGCGAAGTTAGCTCGTTTCACCGAAAAAAAAATATTCTCTTAGATCTAGACCATATTTAGATGTTGTTTTCTTACAACAGCTAGTACACAGGTTTGAATTCCGCTCGTTTCAGGCTCTCCTTTTTCAGAAAACTTACACCTAGATCAAATATGAGTTATTGTTGTTTTTTGAATCATAAATACGCACACATTAGATTTCAAAATGTCTATAATACCGTTTATGATTAAAACAGCTGGTTTGTTTGTTTGTTTTTAATTATGCACAAAGCTACACAAGGGCTATCTGTACTCTGCCCACCACGGGTATCGAAACCCGGTTTCTAGCGTTGTAAGTCCGCAGACATACCGCTGTGCCACTGGGGGGCAAAACAGCTGGTGCGCGGGTTCAAATTTCTCTCCCTTTCAGACTCAAGTTCTTCCGGTAAATTACAACAATTAAATGAATTTGTGTTTTGTTTAGCACAACGTTACACAATGGACTCTCTGTGCTCTACCCACTGATTTTTAACGTTATTAGCTCTCAGACTCACCGTTGAGCCCCCGGGGGGCATGGAAAAGCATAGATCTTCATTTTTATTTTATTTTAGTGTAATGCGTTGTTTATCATTGAAATCTGTCTGAAATAAAATTATTGTTAAACAGTCTATAATACATTCTACAATGGTTATTGGTTCGATCTGAAATTTTTAGAATATTGTAAAATCTGAAACCTTCATAGACGTTACTCATTTGGGGAATGAGTCTCCTCGCTTCACTATAACGGGGAATTGTTCCCCTTATATTTCAACAGCAATAATATATTTTACATCATGGGATAAAGTACTTACCAGTCGCACTAAGGTCTAGAGGAAATCAACTCCAAATACTACTTGAAACATGGGGTACATGAGACACGTGTTCTTGTAGAGCTTATTGCAAACTCCCTTCCCCCATACACACACACACTCATGAAATCAAGGCTTAACCTGCAAATGTTTGTTATAACATTTTTAACATTTATAAACAGCTGACGTTATGTATTGATATTACAGTTCGGTTGTGTATATTTATATGTTAGGTTACAGCATCATTTCAATACACGGATTTTCTATAGCTATGGAATAGAGTCATCAAGTACTTAGCTACTTGAAGAACTGCGACATTACTGATAGTAGACTATATATATATTTCACTCTGTAATATTTGCAACTAGTCATTCTCAAGGACAGTTTTATGATGGTACGTGTTTAAAGTTAGTAATTCAGTAATCCCAGGGACAATTTCACGAGCGCACGCATTTTGTACTCTAAAAGACTAAAGGTTTTTGAGAGTGATACAGGGAGTGGAGGTATAATTGTTAAACTTCACTTTCTCGTAAACAATATATATATATATTACTCCTTATCAAACTCAAATGAAAACGAACCAAAGAAGTCTTGTTAGATGGAAATTTTTTTCGATCAATGCTAATTACAGATATCGATCTTTTGAGCATGTTGCACAGCACGAATGGCACGTGTCCCACGTGCTGTGTAAAAATCTAAGATGATTTATCTTTAATCACCTTTTTATGGACATTTTTCCCCCTTGAGGCGTTAATAGCCGTTAATTTAAAATAGAATTACTTGGTTGCTTCCAAATTAAATCCATAAGGATTTTGTGATTAATGTATTTGATATATAGACAGCCTTGTTTCGTAACAATTAAATGTTTTAAAGGATACTTTTTATTTACAAAAAAAAAAGTTTCATAGTTTGAAGAAGACCCAGAAGGTGGCAGCACATCTTTTATTTTCACCAATGTTCAGTCTACTACATGTACAAGATAACATTTGTTGAAGGAAATAATATATTATAGAAAAGTATATCTAATATTATGCATATGAGATTCAGTTTTACATGTGTAGTTTTGTTATAAAGCTTACCGTAGCACTTAATACAAAATTTGCTGTACTTCAAACACAGAATAATAAAAAATGACGTGTATATTTTTGATCGTAAGCTATTATGTCTAAGAAAATTAATTCGTATAATATTTACAATGTTTACTTAGGACTTTCTGCGCCGTGTCTTTATATGTTAATTATATTTCTAGGAAATAAAATACCCTTCAAGTAGGGTAATTTTCGCTAATGATATAATGATTAAAACAACGTTGCAAAAGCAGTATTCATGTCTTATTATTAATTCTGTTATTGCAGTATGGCTGAAAACAGTGATGTAGTAGCAGTACGTACTTGTTATTTATTACTTACTATTGTTATTACAGCATTGCTGTCGTAGTGAAATAAAGTATTCTCAAAAGAGACTGATGTCATTCGACGCAGAATAGCGTCTCTCGTTACATTTTCTAGTTCATCCTGGATGATCATACTTTATTAGCCCCCACAGCCACAGTGATTGATTCTATATTTTGTTGTGATTCTGTTTAGATTGTCACATATTGCACCTCATAACAACTTCCATTTATTAAATTGTAAAACATTATTGAACAGTTTAAAAAACACAAGATAGAATGGGGAACCTTTTTTCCTGGTGTTACTTTTAAAACGTAGCTTTGTTTTATCTACATAAATTTTTATCATACCCTTACACCTTACGTATTTGATTAGCTTGTGTGTCCTGACATTATATGTAGAAATAACTAACCAGACTCAGAGTACTAAGTCAATTGGGTTAACGTTACTTAATCGACCAATAGTATGTTGTCGCCCTTGAATTGTACAATTATATACTGAAGACACAGAATTTCCTATGTATATATTTTATTTTCTGGCGTGTTGGAATATCTGTTCTTATTGACTAATTAAATCAAAAAGCACGCATCCTTACGACTTTTTTTTTCTTTCATTTCGCGAGGTTCCAAAACGAGTCTTACAGTTGGAAAGACAAACAACTGCGTATTCGTGAGGGCGCTTTTTTGCACTTTAGTAACCAAATTGACCGCTATGTGGTGAATAAGCAAAGTTTCCTGGGATGCGCTGTGGATGACGTCTGTGTTACATGCCCTCGTAAATAACTCGTAGAACACACCTGTAAGACACATGAGAAATAGTGAACGTGAAGCTTTCAACGGAATATTTTTCTTCACGCAAACGAAACCCATGTCTGAAGAAGTTCGTAATAAATATCGCACACATGGCCTTTAAACTGATTCAAGTCAATATTTCTCTATATGTTTAATCACAGTTACACCCTTAACATGAAGATCACAGTTTTTATAAATTATTTATTTAAGTTGGTTCATATAAAAATTAAGCTTTATGGGCGACATTTGGAGCCAATAGAGATAACTCCACATACAAACATTGCAATTCAATTTGATCTGTTGTTCTGAAGCAGAGTCAGATTCAGATCGCTTTTGAGTTTTACTCGATATTCAGATAGCTGTAAAAGGTTTAGAATTTTTACAATAATGAAATTTTCGCAAATATATATATTTACACTACTTCAAATTTATGAATTATATCGAAAATCGAACGAGCTCACGAATAGTAGAGAGGAGAAGGGCGATATGTCTAAGCAGTACTCAGTTGGATCTCACCAATGTAATAACTTTTTCACGGTGTCATTCCTCGATTGATAATTACTAGTAAGGCCCAATCTCTGTGGATTTCTCAAGTTAAGCGAATGACTGGGAGTACTAAAATTTGTTTTTCACAAAATTATTTGGCACCGTATCGTAAAAAAACAAAAATAAATAAATTGCTGTTTTTTTTTTCAGAATTTTAAAGCCAGGCTACGCATAGCCGGTCCTAATTTTGAAATGACAGACTAGAGGGAAGGTAGCTATTCAACAACAGCTCTTAAGCTACTCTCGTCTGATCGAATAGTGGGTTGTGTTACCATTACTCTTCCAGCACACTCACGGTCCCAAAGTGCAGAACGCAGAATTTTTTTTTTTTTTTGCGGCAACGAGACGCGAACCGTGAATCATTAGATTCACATTCAGGGCCCGCTAACCACTAGTTTACGCCGAGCCGTCAGGACAAGCAACGAGAAGGTTTAGGGAAACACGTAGCTCATCTTAAACAGGCTCTGTTCACGTTGCTGAGCGCAGTCTGGTGGGTGAACCTTATTGTATCGTGTGATAAAGTTCAGCGCTAGCAAATCAAAAAGTCTTCTTCATTCAAATAGATCAAAACTGCTAAACGAGAGAATGAAAATTTGTACTAGCAAATCGAAAAAGTCTTCTTCATTCAAATAGATCAAAACTGCTAAACGAGAGAATGAAAATTTGTACTAGCAAATCGAAATGTCTTCTTCATTCAAATAGATCAAAACTGCTAAACGAGAGAATGAAAATTTGTACTAGCAAATCAAAAAGTCTTCTTCATTCAGATGAATCGATCTTCTTAAACCTGAATATAAAGATCTCAAGTCGAAACGTTTTCTCTAAATAAGGTATACGGAATCCGCTGAACGCCCAAGATAAATACGTTTTTACCAATATTTCCCAGGTTTTTACATTTTGTTACTTTAACTTTTAAGACAAGGACTAACTAAACGGGGGTGAAATGTGACCATTCACTTAATAAGCATACTACAGAGGGCGCTCAGTTAACAAAACTATTGGTTGAATGGCCATTTGCAAATGAAATAACTTGCAGACGTGTACTTTTTCTAAAAGTTTCCCTTTACCAGCCATCTCTGACACGTGCGGCGTGCTTTGGGGCGTTACTTTCATCCTGGCGTTGGGCACTTCTCCCGTGAGGCTGTGCGCGGGAGGGAAAGAAGGGGTGGTGGTGAGGTCGGGACGGTACCTCTGTATTTAGTTGTGTTCTCTCGGATACCGCGGGCAGAGTTAGACAAGAGTGACTGTCCGACATGCAGAAATATATACGAGTGTGTGCTTCGGCATTGCGAGTCCTGTTCTTCCGCCTATCAGCCTGTTGCTCCGTTAATGCTTGAGTATAGGCGTATTCTGAAAACTGAAAGAATAAAAGCTAGGTTTATAGGTTTTAGACTGAAAACTTAACCTGAGAACAGATAAATACCAGTATCAGATTCTTTAAAGTGAACTGCCCAACGAAGAAAAGCCATGAATTACAAGCTCTAAGCAGTCGGAACTCTTGCACTGATGTAGATATTCCCAGCAAGGCAAGTGCTCACGAAATAGGCTGAACTGTGACATTCGAACACGTTATGACCAATAGCTAGATTTAACTTAAAGGATCTTTAATGTTTCTCGTTTTTATTTTTTATTATATTATCATTATGTTTTTCCTAACTCCTCCAACCGGATTCACTGGTAATTCTGTGAAATAGGAGGATTTACGAACCTCGCCCTCTAATGCCTTTTCGTTTTAATATGTCTCCTGGGTTTTGGGAATTCTAGTCGTCCGTTCTTCCTGTAACAAACTTGTATAGTAGAGGCCTAAGACGGGCCGTGTTATGAAATAACAGCTTAACGTACTTGTTCGGTCGCAGTAACAAAAACTATGACATTTGGAACTGTGAAAAACTTGGCTGTTGAAAAAAACAGTCTGCCAGCTGCTTATTTATTTTATCTGACTAGCTCATTACTTGCTCGAAATTCTGTTAATTAACTTTTTCGTGTACGTCCCGCACACTGTTTGAAGGTTCACCAGAACTTTCACCTCGATCTTTGGCCTTAGTTATTTAGTGATTAGTTGACTCACTCACTATAGACGCCAAAAGTGACAGGTTGGAAACTTCAGTTTGTTTATCAAGACATATCTTTACTGTTAACTATAGTGTAATCGCCACTATGTGTATAGACCGTCACAGCTAAACGTCAACTGCTTTGAGGACTTACTTGTGCGTCTCATGTAAAACATGATTTCACTACACCTAACACCTTCTTGGAAGATTTGAAGAACAGCACACCTGGTATATATATATATATATATAAAAGATAGCAACAACAAATAAGGCTTAACAGAATGGATTTTATTGTACTGAAGGTGAGTTGTTTAATGAAGTTATTTCTTTTTTTATGTTTTAAATTTATACATAACAGATAGAACACTTTACTATGTGAAAAAAAAAAGATACTGGGAAAGTGGGGTTTTTTAACGATCATGGCACGTTAAAACTACTACTACTAGTAAGTTGTTCTATAATACACAGTGGACAGCAGTAAGTGTTACACGATTTTGTGTGTAAATAGTTTTCTGTAGAAGCAATGAACAATGATTTGGATTTCCATTTATATAACGGTCACAAACAACTATGAGTTGCTTTTATACGTATAGAAAGTAATCATTAAGAGCAGAGAAAGGTGATTTCAAGTTCTATGTACATAATGTAAAGGCCATTAGTAACTTGGTTTGGTCTTGTGCGTTTCTGTTATACACGGCAGATCATTAGTATGAGTAATTTAATTGTTTGGCACACAGTGATCTTGCTGTTCATAGTTTGTTCTACTTACCGCAGCAATGGTTAGCAATATATACACACAGAACTGGTCTGGTAACAGCAGTCATAGGTTGAAAAAGAAAGGTGTTGTTTCTTTGCTTACGTGTTACATTTGCACTCAGTTTTACAATAGCAGGTGTAACGAGTTGATTTTGGGACATAACAAATTGAAAAAATCAATATTTATTAGGTTCTCTTGCCTTAACTGTATAACTAATTTGATCAGATGTAGATGATATTAGTTTTTGTGTTTTTACTATCAATCGGAATTTTTCTTCGTTTTTGCTTACGATATTCCAAAGTTGTCATGGGTTACCTACTCTTTTTTTGACATTACTTGCCTACTACTTTTATTAGCATTGGGACTTTAAGCTATTTATTACCTAACTTATCATCAGTTTTTACCAGCATCTTCTTCAAATACCTCCTTGTTGGATCATTATACTGTCGAAATCCAAAGCTAGGCCGAATGGTTTTGCTTCACGACCCAGGATGTTCATATACATCTCCTTCTTCATAATGCCATCAGTTTAGACAGAACCTCTCACTTTGGCAGCATGATACATCCCCCCACCGATATGGACCCACCACTATGCTTCGTCTTTTTTTTTTCTTTCTTTTTTTACTCTTCTTGTTTGGGCTCAAATTTATGACCAGTACTCTATACACGTGTGTGTGTATATAAATATTTATGCACCTATAACTTTTCAGACAACAGGACCCGAAACAAAAATATTTAGTAGTATTACAGAAAGTTACTCTAATTAAAAAGTAATGACAATGCTACAGAAGTTTTTCGTAAAACTGTTAAAAATTCTTAGAGCCAAAAAGTACAATGTTTTTTATCTTGTGTCTGAAGGGTTAAAATGTCATCAAAAATATGATGATGTTTTTATGCTCTCTTTCCTATCATATGTTATAATGAACGTAACTGTTGTGTTATATATATAGGAAACGAAAAAAATGAACCACACGGTTACTATTTTTTCTCCTTTTATATTGATTGAAAAGAAGATGGCGCTGCCGCATCATTAATACTTGTTTATCAAGTAATGTGTGATAACTTCATATGTTATCACGTAGCAAAAAACATTGAAGACTTCTTAAGAGCCGTAAAGATGCAGTTCAGTAAGCTCATAATTCCGTGAATAATTTATAGATTGGTTCTACTCAACTTCCTACATTACCACTGTTTATTAATAAAATTCCACTAAAGTCAGTAACATACAGAATTCTGTTTTCTGTATCTCTTGATATTTCTTCTGTAATCTGTGTATGTATGCGTTTTGTATATACATAAAGAATTCATGAAGACTGTGACTGCATTGGGAATCTTGTCAAAGATAAGGCTCCTGAAATTAAATAAATAGGTATATATGTTCGGGGGGGTCTGGCGGCAAGCGCCTCCTGGTGTGTAGCTCCAGTGATTGACAACCTCAAGGCTTTCAGTCGGCCGCCTTGTCCAATTAACTCGGGACGAGATTATATACCTGATGTTAGTTTGGCCATCGAGAGGACCTGAACCCTGTACTTTATGCAACAGAGATAGCTAAGTAGACACGGAGTGGAAAATGATTACCAGAGAGTTTAATCTTTACACAAAGTTGGAAGAAGATAGTGTGTTTATACAGTTCACTTTGTTTACCCCTCCGCCGACTTTCGGCTATTTTTGTAGAACCAAAACTGATAAACGATCTTTGTTTATGAACTTGGGTGTTAAGTGCGGGGATCGAGAGAAGAAGAAAAGAAATCACGTGATACCAGAAAATATTCCAAATAGTTTTTGTGTTTGCATATATTTAGTATATTACCGGAAAATATTCCAAATAGTTTCTGTGTTTGCATATATTTAGTATATTACCGGAAAATATTCCAAATAGTTTCTGTGTTTGCATATATTTAGTATATTACCGGAAAATATTCCAAATAGTTTCTGTGTTTGCATATATATTCAGTATATTACCGGAAAATATTCCAAATAGTTTTTGTATTTGCATATATTTAGTATATTACCGGAAAATATTCCAAATAGTTTCTGTGTTTGCATATATTTAGTATATTACCGGAAAATATTCCAAATAGTTTCTGTGTTCGCATATATATTCAGTATATTACCGGAAAATATTCCAAATAGTTTTTGTGTTTGCATATATTTAGTATATTACCGGAAAATATTCCAAATAGTTTTTGTGTTTGCATATATTTAGTATATTACCGGAAAATATTCCAAATTGTTTCTGTGTTTGCATATATTTAGTATATTACCGGAAAATATTCCAAATAGTTTCTGTGTTCGCATATATTTAGTATATTACCGGAAAATATTCCAAATAGTTTCTATGGCTCTATACATTTAGTATATTAAACAAACCTGACACATCAACGTTTTCTATGTATATGTTTGTATGTGTTTCAACATAAAGGAATTACATTAGACCTTGAAACTTTAATGGCCTGTTTGTAATTTTGTTACCTTATATATTTTTATTCTCGTCGGCTTGTCGTGAGCATCAGGTATTTTCTGTCATATTAATTTGTTTATTGTTGTAAAATCTTAGTTCTGTAGGTGATTGTACTACAGTTTTATTACTATCAAATCGTAGTAATAAGTATTTTCGTACAGTAGTATCTTGACGGCTTGCTGTATGATCATGTCATCGTGTAACTAGACTTAAATACAAACCGGATTTTAATTAGTTTACTGTTTCTCTCCGTAGGTTTCATAAAAATTAGACTGTAAGGAATTTGATATTTTTTCATTCTGATTTCTTGTTTTTGGTTTTTAAACTTGTGGTGTTCTTAACCAATGGTATGCGGTTATTGCTTGGAATTTTGCTTCATATATTTTATATGCAACTCACTCGTGTAAAAAAATAAAATAAAAAACTCGTGCTAAACTATATTTTTGTTTTTCTGTCTGACTATCAACCAACAGCAAATAGGACGATGTGATTGGTTGTGACAAGCCAAAAACTATCGGTCTCTAGACTCAGGTAGTTCTAGAATAAAATACGGACACAAGTGAATCTGTCCGTATTGGCTTTCTGTAGCCTTTATAGCAGTCAGTAATCCGTCTCAGGATTAGTAGCTTTAAGCTTACATACTGCAGCTGTTATACAGCTCGCAGTCTACAAATGTAGAATCCGTAACTGCCGTTTTCGCCTGTCTTGGAGAGGGACCGTTTCTTAATGTATTTGTTAGAAAACGTTTCTGGTTTCTCCAGACTACTGACAGTATCGGAGTTCCTTACATCTAGTCACATAACCGCTTCCATACATTTCTTCAAATCTCTTCCAACTTATGATATTATATACATAAGATACTTTGAACTTATTCTTTTTCCATTAAATAACAAAAGCAGCTACAATGCGATAAAGTTTGAAAATACAAAAAATGAATGGAAATCGTTTCGCCGTTAAATTGATCACTTTATTCTTTTTCCATCATATTTATTTGACAACGCTAGAATCCGGGTTTCGATACCCGTGGTGGGCAGAGCATAGATAGCCCATTGTGTAGCTTTGTGCTTAATTACAAACAAACAAACATAATTATTATAGAATAATTAATTAATAAGAAAATTTTCTTATATTTAAAAAAAAAAATCATTTTGTTTAAGTTTTCTTTTTGTTTGTTTTAGGAGACTAAATCCAGGAAATAGTTTAAAACTGTTAACAATTACGCGCGTTTGATTGTGAAAAATAGAATTTTATCTTGACACCAAAATTTCACATATTTGACTCATTAAACGATTTCGATTCCTTAAAATTCATTTGTTGAGAAGGAAGGAAAAGTTGATCAGGCTTACGTTGAATACTAAGACCGTTAGAATCATTGCTGTGTATGTCTCAAAACAGCGTACATGAGCTGCTCAAAACCAGTCCTTACACATTTTTTTTCGTTTTTCTTCTGCATACTGCACAGTTTATTAACCAAAATGGATGTTGAACTAGAATTTGAAAAGAAACAGAACACTATGGCACAGTGCCAAGAAAATGATGCTCTTCGCTGGCTTATAAATTACTGATTGACTAGAAAACTTTCTGTACTGGGTGGTCCACAGTTGAACCCGACGTCTTTTTTTCATATGTGTGTTTCCAGGACAGAAGAATCTGTTGGGTTGGTTACGTATATCACATTAACAGCACAACATCAAGGAATAAATTGCATTTTAGACGAAACTTCAGTTAAGGTCAGAACTTAGGAGACCATAAAATAAATATCGAAAAATTAATTAAAATGTTACACATTTATTGCTACATTTTTAGAACATCATGAAAAGAACGTCAGAAAATGAATTAAAATGTTTTGCATTCGTTGTTATATATTTTTAATGATCTCATGAAAACAAAGTAGAAAATTTAATTACAATGTTCTATTTTTTTTTTGTTACGTGCGGCTTAGAAAAGTAACAATAAAAAATATGCCTCTTCCTAACTTTAATGATTGAGTGCAGTGGTTTAGCGTGTCTGATCGAATGGTCCAAGGTTTGAGAAATGATACTTCTGAACAGGTTCTGCATTTTTATCAGTCAATCCAGTTATTC